TGAGCCGGTGAGATTAGAACCGCTGAACTGCAGATAACAGTCAGCTGAAGTGGCCTGTAGTACTGCACCCTAACCACTGCGCCACCTCGGCTCTGTAAATGACCACAGGGGTGCTGCAAAGGCTGAGGAACAGCAGTAAGTCTCTATATTTAGCATCATAACTTAAAACAGCTGCTAAACCAAGGACTACCTGCAGTATTTTCCTAGATTTAATTAATTTAAGCAATGATTGACTTTTAGTTAAAGCAGAGTAAAAGTGAGAAAGGGAAAAAAATTACCTTAATTGAACGTCCTTTAACCAACATGGTATCCCAACACTCTTTTTTTATCATCTCACGTAAATAGCAATTGGATAGATTTTCCATCTCTATATCCTTCCTCACCTTTATCATAAAACAGAAAACAAATGAGGATGCAAAATCCATTTGGTTTATATGTCACTCATGTTAACCCTGGACTCATGTAAATCATGCAATATATAATATTAATCAAAATCTTATATATCACAAAAATCTTAGAAAGCATCCAGATTTAAACATTTGCCGCTTGAATTATGTTGATAGACAAAATATCAATTTGAAAAATCTGTATATAAAGTAAAAGAAAGCTCTTTTCCTTAATATCGGTGACATTTAGATGTGTAAATCTTGTGTTACTTATATAATAAAGTAAAAATTGTACAATTGTGACAAGGATAATTTTCCTTTCTTAGATTCTACAGCTGAAGAAGAAAATACAAAAATGAAGGCAGAAATAAATAAATCAGTTCCTTAGGATAAGCCCATTCCAACTTCTGATTTGTTTATTTATTTGAATGGTGATCTTTATAAATATGTAAATCTAGCCCTAACGAATAATATATACTGTATAATTCTGATTGACTTTTAAGCATTTTAGAATTCCTCTTATTCTCCATACAAACGTTTTATTTGTTCAGGACAAATAAAAGTAAATTGAACCCCAACAAGTTCACCATACCCTTTCCACTTCTGAAGCACTGTGTATTTGCTGTTTCTCTTGTTCCTCTACATCCAGATTGAATTCCTGTTGGTCCAGTTTCTCAATTTTAGGTGCAACTGAATTTTCGAACATCATTTCTTGAATCTATTTTTGAAATGATAGAAATTAATAGTGAGGAAAAGATGTATTTGTAAAAGAATGGTGAATCTATGTCTATCCTAATATACTGTGTGTTTGAAGTATAATTTACAAACATGCAAGTTTTAATAATAATAACAAATCACTAGCCATGCTAAGTTTAATGTGAGTGGAAATGCAACACCATTGGACATCATAAAGAGACAAGGAGTATGACTAATATCTTTCCAAATAATTGAAAGACTGCATTTCCATATAGTTATCCGTGCCGGTACTACCTTTTCAGCAACTACACAAAGCACATTATATCTTTAAACACAAGAATAATACAGATCCATTTCATATCAGGAAAGTAATGGAAATTCTGAATCCAGAAATATATATGTAATCATTTGATAGTATAAGTGCAAAGAAATCATTTGCACTGTGAATTAAAACTGTCGTAGTCATTGCGAAGAACAAGGGACTCTAGTATGAAGATTGCTAGTTTAGATTCATAGAACCAATCTAAACAGTAAGCAGTTATTTCACACAGCAGTTGGATTTACAAACAGATCATTTTCTGTGGTCTCAAAATAACTGTCAATTTGAAGGACTGCAATNTTTTTTTTCTATTTTTCTAATTTTCTATTTCTATCTGCAAATTTTATGAGTTCCCCATCTATCCCCTTATCCAAATTATTGATGAATATGTTGAAGAGTACTGGGGTCTAAAATAGAGCCCTGGGATACCCCACTGTGCACCTCCCTCCAGGTAGGTGCAGTTCCATTGAGGGCTACACTGAGGTTGGTCAGACAGTTACGAATCCATCTGGTGGTGATGCTTTCTAACCCACATTTTTCTATTTTATCAAGTAGTAAGTTATGGTCTACTTTGTCAAATGCCTACTGAAGTCCAAGTAAATTATATCAATAGCATTCCTCTGGTCCACTAGTTCTGTCACTTTGTCAAAGAATGCAATAAGATTAGTATGGCATGATTTGTTTTTGACAAACCCATGTTTGTCAAATATATTTATCTTATATATTTATCTTTGGGGGGTGTTTTCTGTTATGTGAATAATGTACGTTAAAAGCTATGAAATGTTTTATAAACTAGGCTCTAGATGAATAACCTACCTGAACCATTTCAGCATAGGAATAGTTAAGAGAAACACTGGAATATAAGAATCATTAGACAATGTAAACCTGACAATGAAAATTATTTATCCTTCTTGGGGGAAAAAAACAAGATTCTACCTTCATATCTATTGATTCAATCTTCTTTAAATACAAAATTCTTTCCAACATTTGATTTTCTTCTGGACTCCGTCCTTTCATTGGATAATTCTGAACTTCACAAGAAGAATGGAAAGTCTTTGGAAAGAAAAAAAAGCAAGTATAACTCATGCTGTTTCCAAATACAATGTTTAATATAGTTCTAACTTACAAAAGCTTTATGTTGTACTTTTAGAGGTGTATTATTGTACTATTAACTGATTCTTTCTTTTTAAAGCCATCTTCTACTAAACAGTAGGATGTTCTCTCATATGAATTACTTTCATGATGCTGTTCATAATTGGGTAATAGTTTTGGATGAATTATAAGTAATTAGTTAACAACAGTATTTGGGACTAAAAATTCCATCAGTTATAAAGTACATCATTACGTGAATGCAATGACTTACAATAACAATTCCAGCAGTTCCATTGTGGTCATTAGGCAATTCTTGCATGGTCATTAGGTGCAATGTCATGTGATCGCCATCTGCTGGCTTTCCATTAAATTTGCTGTTTGGAAGCCACCAGTGAATGTCGCCAATGGTGATCACATGGATGTGAGATGCTGCAACTGTCATAATTTTAAGCCCATTGCTAAGCACACAAATTATTATCAAATAGCAATAGCAATAGCAGTTAGACTTATATACCGCTTCATAGGGCTTTCAGCCCTCTCTAAGCGGTTTACTGAGTCAGCATATTGCCCCCAACA